CTTCATATAAAAATTTTTTAAAAAAATATTTAATTATACTAAATATTTATTTATTTTGATTAATATCCTATTAGATTTAATATTTTTTATTAAAATTTTTGATTTTAAATTAAAATTAATTTTATAAATAAAATAGATTTATTAATTATTAAAAAAAAAGATTAAATTAAATAAAAGATTTATTTTTAAAAAAACTTATTTTTAAAATTTTATGTGATTGGATTATATATAGATTAACCATATTTATTTATTTTAAATATCAAATTTATATGATATATTATAAATAGACTAATTTTGAGTTTTATTTTTTTTAATTAAATAAAAATTAATTTAATTATAAATATAAAATAATTTAAAATTTATTAAAATTTATTTTTTAATAAATAAATTAAATTTATTTATAAATTTATTATAATTAAATAATAATTAATGTATAAAATATAATATAATAAAATTAGACAAAGTGAATATTTATATTACTAAGAATTTTAGGGATCAAAATTTAGTAATATGATAATTATTATGATTATCTATTATCTTTTTTTAAATAGTATATAGAATTACTTCTAAATAAAATAATTAATATAAAACTTATTTATATCAGATCTATTATAAAGCTTAAAAATTACAGTACCATTAAAAGTATTTTAAAGAAAGATAGTTGTCTTTGCTTTTCTAGATTTAAGAAATATCTATTTTAAAATTATCATTAAATCTGAGTTGAACAAAGTAAAAAAAAATTGTTTCTTATATTTTTAAAATAAATAATATTTAAACACTAGATTTATTTAAGAAAAGAAAAAATTGCTTATAAAGTTTATTAAAAAGAAAAAAAAATTATAAATATTAAAAAAGAAAACAAAATAAAATATTTTATTATTTAATAAAAAATAGAAAAAAATAATCTTATTATTATATATTAATCTATTTATTTTAAGTTTTTTTAGCACATTATATTTATCATTATAATTTTCTTTATTCTTTGAAATATTATTTTTATATTTATTAGCAACTTTGATAAAACCTTTATCTTTTAAGTTAAAAATAGTAGTTTTAATAATAATATTATAGCTGATTTTTATTTATTATATTAAAAGAAAATTTTTCTTAATTTTATCTAAATTACTTTTTTATTTTTAATTAAAATCTTTTTTTAAATAATTAATTGACCTTTTTATTATTATAATCATACTAATTGAACTTTTAATATATTATTTTAATTTTATTAATTTTTAATTAGTTAAACCTTTTATTTTTTTATTTTTACTTCTAATTGTTTAATTTTATCTAATAATTCCTGTTTTGTTTCTTATTTTACTTCTTGTATTTTCTTAAAATTTGGCTACTTCTTCTTTTTCAATTTCTAATGTTTTTTCAGTTTTATTTAATTATTCTTATAAGAAGTTTATCTTTCTTTTATAAAAGAACTTGACTTATTTCTTTATTAGGTAAGAGTAAATATTCCTTTTTTTATATCTTTTCATATTAATATAAAAATAAATATATTTATCATTAAGAATATTAAGATAATGTCTAATTGTAATTTATTATATTTATTATATTTTAATAATTAATTATTTTTAAACAGTTTTTACAAATTACATTATTTGTAATATATAAGATTACTAAATAAAATCTAAAGGTTTTGCAAGTCATCTAAATGGAAAAAGATAAAATTTAATAAAATTATATTAAAACCTTATTAAAAAATCTGCGAAATTCTAAAAAAGGTAAAACTATATCAAAGTTTATAAAAATGTGAAACTATATCAAAACCTTAGTAAAAAATTAGTGAAACTATAGTTTAAACATTTTGTCAAATCTAAAATGAGTTTAGAAAAGCAACTTTAGTAATATATTACTATTTATATTACTATTTTATTAATAGACTTATTATCTTTTCTATAAATATTAAAGTAAAAATCAAAATTTTTTTTAATTTGTTCTTTTTAAATCTAAAAGTATGTAAGTTAATTCTTTTATTAATTATTTATTTACATTTATTTTAATAATTAACTCTTAGATTTGACATTTTTTGCTTTTTATCAATTAATAAAATTTAGTTTTTATTTTTATTTTAATTATTTAAATTTATTTTTCTTTTTAGATAAAATAGATAAATTCTTTTTAAATAAATGTAATTGATTTTACAACTTTTTTTTCTTTTATAAGATTTTTATTTTTTAAATCTTTTTCTAAAATTATTTTATTAGTTGTTTCTATCTTGAATTAGTTCTAATTCTAATTTACTAATTTTTTGTATTATTATTTTTATTATTTTACTAAAAATTTTTTATTTTTAGTTTTTTCTTTTGTTTGATTTTATTTTATTTCTAATCAACTATTAAGACTTGCTTAATTTATCTTTAAATTTTTTTTTCTTTAATTTTAAATTCTTAATTCTTTCAACTTTACTTTTGATAATATCTTTAATAATAATATTTTTAATAGGTTTATCTCTGAAGTTTTTCATTTTTTATTTAACTAATAATAGTATTTATTTTACTTTGATATTTTTAATGCTTTTCATCCTCAAGTTTATAGTAATTATTAACAATTTCTTTAATGATTTTTCTCTTAGTTTTCATTATATTCTTGAATATATTTTCTATATAAATTATCTTAAAAAATAAATATTTATAAACTGTTATTTTAATAGTTTGCTAATTAATTTCTTTAAATTTTATTTAATATTTTTATTATAATGAGAAAATTTCTCACTCATATCTATTAATATTTAGTAAATTTTTTATATTATTTCTTATTTAAATTTTAATTTCTTTTTCTTTACTTATCTCTTTTAGATTTTTAATTTAGTATTTTTTATTCTTTATTAGATAAATATTTTTTCAATATTTTAATTTATTAATTAGTTTTTTATTTTTGTTATTGTTATTTAAGATGTTTATTATAATTTTTTTATTTATATTTTTTTTATTTATTCTTTTAATATATTTATATTTTTAGAATATATTAAGTATATAATTATTTTAATACTTTTTTATTTTAAATATGAATAAAATTAACAATATTTATTAAAAGATTAAACTTATTAAACATAATAATAGTAAAAGATAAATTAACAAATAATAAAATTATAAAGGTGATTTTATTCTAAATATTTAAGCATCACATTTTAAGAATTTCAATTTATTATTTTCTTTTAAATTAGCTAAAAATCTTTATAGACTAATTTATAAGAATATAATTAATTGAGTTATTCTATTGATATTTTTTCTTAGACTTAATAATCTATAGATTTTTGCATAATTTTCTAAAACTTTTTTACTATTTTTATAATATTTTTTTAATTATTATTTTAGTTTTTTATTAAAACATTTTTTTAATATTATCATAAGTTCTTGGTAGAAAACTATTATTTATTAGATGTTTTCTAATATTTTCAAAATAAGTCTTATTAATTTCTAATATATTGAGATAAGTTTTTTGATAAAAAAATATATTACGATTCTAATGATAAAAGTACTTTTATATTAGATCTAGTTTTTTTAAGATATTTATTAATAATTATTAATCTACTATTAGGATTCTAAATATATTTTATATAACTTACATTAGAGTTTGCATAAAGTTTATATATTAATTTTGATCAAAATTACATATTATAGGATTAAATTTTATTATTTTACATACTTTAGTTTAAGTGATCTACTAATTAAATTTGATAAAATTTATATTATTAGATTCATCTTAATAGAGAAATTTAAGATAGTAAAATAAAATTTTAGTATTAAAATTAATTGAATTATTATAAAAAATGCTTTTAATTATAAGAGATATTCAAGAACCTCTATCTTAAATTAGACTATTAAAATATATCTTATTCTAATTTAGAAAGAGCTTAAAATTCTCTTAATTCTGCAAGTTTTTTCTTGAAAATTTTTTAAAAAAATTACAATTACAAATTTTTTATAAAAATTAATTGCTTTTTGATATTCATTAGAACTATGTTACTTATTATTACTTTTTATATACACTTATTCCTATATATATAATTTTATGTTTATTTTATAGATTTATTTTTGTGTAGAAAATTAAAAATTAATTACATAAATATAAAAATATAAATTTTTATAAACTAAAATAAGAAAATTCGTAAGTTAGAAAAATTTATTATATTTTATTTGTATTTAATTATAATAAACCAATTGTAAATATTTAATAATTTTAAATTTTATCTATTTTATTAAATCCTAATTATCTTTATTATTATAATAAAATTATATTTAAAATTACAAATATACTATATAACTATATTAAAATTAATTATGAAATATTTATAAATATTAAAAATTACATTCTTTATTTGTAATTATTCAATTCTTTTTTTCATAAATATCATACTTTCAAATATTTTTTAATTGTTGACTGAAGGAGATCATTATCATATATTTGTTTAATTAGTTCATTGATTTGAATATCTAATAACTATAAAATATTAAAGTTAAATTATAATAGTTATCTTATTGCTTTTCTTTTTCTTTCTAATCAAAATTTATAATTTTTATTGCTAATTTTTTTTTCTTCTTTATAAAAAATATTATATTTTTGTAAATCACTATTAATTAATCCTTCACTATACATTTTTTGAATTGTATTCTTGATTTTCCTTTAAAGTTTCATTTTTTGATCTTTTTCAAATAAAAGATCTATTAATAATTTGTAATCTGAAAAATACTCTATTGTTACCATTTTCCAATCACAATTAATGTTTTATACTCATAGATCTTTAAAGCAATATTATTATTTGCATAAAATTTATATATATCCAACTCATAGTTTGTAATAAACTTTACAACGATTTTGAAATATTTTTGCTGATCCCTATTTTTATAATTTACCTTTACTTAATTTTTCTTCATATTCAAATGGTATTTTATATCTATCATCAAACATCTTAAATGATATAATAGAGGAAAATTTCAATGATATAGTCTAAATTGGAGAAGTATAATAATCTTTAATAACTGAACAGCTTTTTAAAAGCAAGCAACATCCTTCCAATTATTTGTTCTCTTTGGTTCAGTAGATTCAAAAAGTCTAATGAGACCTTCAATTAAATAGTCTCCATTATAAAAAGCATCAGCAATTCCAAGATGTGATGCTGATAAAAAGAAAAAATAAGATTAGTCAAAAAATAACAAATGCATATGCATTATACTAACCAGTCAGACATAACAGAAGATATGGTAAACGTGTTATCCGTACATAATTTTCTTTCAATCCATTTCCAATAATATCACAAACTTGTTTAAATGCATTACCTTCATTATCATTTTTAACTTCCAAAATTACAGGTATTTTGTCTTCCTGAAAAAATACAACCATCTGTGGAGTAAGTAATACCATTTGTAGATATAGATTCTAAATTTAACGTAAATCCTAAATAACTATTGATAAGTTCACGAAATTTGTCTCGCCTTTCCCCCTCTACAAGGTAAGTTACTGTCATTTCTTCAGTAAATTTCATCACAATGATATGTGAGAATCGAATTCTAACCCTATTGTTTTACTTCGATGTAGTCTGATGCTTTTCCAAGACTGGATGGAGCCGTAGTCAACTTTTTTCCTTTCAATAAATACCATCAACATGTTCTTCTGCCTTACGCTTTCCTATTATTACATTTACAAAAAAAAGCAAACACCCTCTTAAATGGATAAATGAACAATGAATGAAATAATTTTTTGTATATTTGTAATTTTTTTTTTACGCAATTTGTTCATAACCTTCCCCTCTACTGAATTCTCATTAACGCCCTTCCTTACTCCTTCACCTGCTCCTTCCAGTCGTTCATGTCTTTCTTCAATTCTTCTTTTTCTTTCAACAACCTATCTCTTCTCTCCTCCGAATTCTTCCTCTGCTTCACTCAAGTTCTCTTATCCTCTAACTCGTTCAACTTTTCTCCTTTATACTTCCCTACTTCCCTTTCTCTAACTTTTCACTACCTTTCTATATTCTTTGTATCGTTTAATTTTTATTGATCATTTTATCTATTTAATTATTTTAAATGACATAATCACGTAGATCTTTCCTTTTGAATAATTATATTTTACATACCTAATCGATTTTGAATTTTCTAAAAGCAAAATAACATATTTATCACTATCAGATGATCAGGGTTTATCTTTAAAAAATTCATAATTAATTTTAAAAAAACCTCGTTTGTATTTGGATTAGTTTAAAATATTTTATTATGGGAGTTTTACATTTTTTCTGGTACGAAATTTAACTCCGATACGTTTCTTAATTCAATGCAATTTATTCTAAATTTCAATCTTTTTCTCAAATTTTAGGTGGTTATGTTATAAATATCCACAAATCATTGAAAAGGTCAACACATCCGATGAATTCGATAATTTATATTTGGATATGAATGGTATTATTCATATTTGTTGTAATCAAGATAAAGGGGTAAACTTTTTTATATAATTCATCAAAACTCTTAGGGTCATTGGTTTATTCAATTTTCATTTTATTATTATAAAGTCTTCTCCTGCTACAGAAGAAGAGATGATGATGAAAATATGCGATCACACTGAGCGGATATTTGCTATGATTCGACCTCAAAAAGTTTTATATATTGCTATTGGTAAAATTTGTGTACATATAATTATTTATCTTTATTAGAGTAGAGGCAGATTTAATTATAGTATACTTTTTTTTATTTAGACGGAGTAGCCCCTCGTGCTAAAATGAATCAACAGAGATCTCGTAGATTTAGAAGCGCACAAGAAGCACAAGAAGAAGCTCAAAAAAGGAGATCTCGAGGTATGTTGCATAAATGTATGGATAATAATTCATTACAAGTTAACATTTGATTAACCTAATAATATTATTGCATCAGGTCAATCTATAGATACAGAAAAAAAGTCATTTGATAGTAACTGTATAACACCAGGTATCTCATACGGTTGAATGATATAAATTTGCCCAACTTTTGAAACATAAATAAAATTTCTTGGAAAGTTGAAGTTCTGTTTTGACTTTAACTGATAAGCCTATTTATATTTGATGTATCCATCTATTAATCAGATGTTTAAAGTATTCAATATGATTAATCATTAATCATTAATTACAATATTCAAAATAATAGGTACGCTTTTTATGGCACTTGTTGCAGTATCTTTACGAAATTGGATCGCATATAAACTTAACACTGATCCAGGATGGAGTAATGTATGTGGCACTTGTTAAACTTTTTTTTTTGGATTTCTATTTAAAAAAAGATATTTTTATAGATATTTCTATATAATTAATTTATAGTTAAAGGTCATATTATCTGATGCGAGTGTACCAGGTGAAGGTGAACATAAAATTACGCAATTTATTCGTGTACAACGTGCTAGTAATCCTAATACTCGTCACGTAATATATGGCTCGGTCGGTTCTTTTTTTTAAAAATAAATCACTTGATATATTTATTAAGTATTAAAATTTACTTCGTTTTATTTAGGATTCTGATCTCATATTCCTTGCGTTGGCTACACATGAACCTCATTTTAGAGTGCTACGAGAAAACCAACAAAGTATTTATGTGGATGTTTCTATATGGCCAATTTAATTCATATATTTAACTTTTATGATATGTATATTTTTTTATAGAGTCGGTTTTTGATATTATAAACGTTCAAGTTTTTCGAGAATATTTGAAAAAGGAACTTGAAGTATCCAGCTTGCCCTGGTCATTTAATTTGAAAAATGCGATCGATGATTGGGTCTTTCTTAGCTTTTTCGTGGGTAATGATTTTCTTCCCCATATTCCGTTTTTGGATATCAAGGAAAATGCGATAGACAACTTGATTACTATATGGAAAAGATGTCTTCCATCAATGGGTGGTTATTTGACAAATAGTGGAGATGTAGGTTTTTTTTTTCCTTTAACTAATTTATTATTATATACAAAGTTCAAAAATATTAAACATTCAATCTCTAGTTGGATTTAAAAAGGTTGCAAAACCTTATTACAGAACTTGATAACGAAGATAAAAACGCTTATATTCAATGGTATAAAAAAGGTAAGTCCATTGTCATACCAGATTTGCTATATTTAATCTAAATGTTACGTTATTGAAGCGGAGTTAAAAATACTTTGGCATTGCTGTTTCAATTTCTGATATTTCTGAAATTTCCAAGTACATCGATTAAATGAATCCTATTACAATGTTTAATTGAAATCACTAGCACAAGACTCAACAAAGAATACGGATGATTATAACGCTATAACTAGGTAATTAACTCAATTTCTTTAATATTGGTGATTTTAACACTAATAGGACAATTAATTAATCGACTATGGAATCCGGATTTAAAAGAAGATACTATGAACAAAAATTTAAAGATATTCATCCAGATGAAGAATTTCGGAAGAAGTAAGTTAGTTATTTCATTCTCCTAAAATTAGTAATATATGTAATTTAAATGAATTTTTTTTTTTGTTATTATTTTTCAGAATTGTAAAAAATTATATTGAAGGCCTTTTTTGGATTTTGGAATATTATCGTCGGGTATAAATTTTATTATAATAAATATTATATGTATTTGAGAAGATATATGCTGCTAACACTTGATGATACATAGGGAGTTCCTTCTTGGACATGGTATTATCCTTACGGTTACTCACCATTTGCATCAGACTTGATAAATATGGGTGACATTAAACCTGAATTCAAATTAGGTAAGCCATTTAAACCATTCGAACAATTAATGTTTGTGTTACCGCCATATAGGTAAATAAATATATTGAATTTTTTTTTACGTTTTTAAGTTATCAATTTTATCATTTATATAATTGTATTAACTTAATTAATATTAATAGCAAGGAACTTTTGCCGTTACCATACCAAAAGCTTATTACTGATGAAAGTAGTGAAATAAAAAAATTTTATCCCGAATCATTTGAAATTGATAAAAACGGGAAAAAACAATTATGGCAAGGTAGGAAATACACGCTATTATTGAATTTTTGTTCTTTATAAAATAAAATAATATTTATTTTAAATTCTTTATAGGAGTTGTTCTGCTTCCATTTATCGATGAATCAGTTTTACTTAAAAACATGAAATCGGTATCTTCTCAATTAAAACCCTGTGAAATTGAAAGAAATTCTCATGGTTTTGATATCCTTTTTTTTAGCAATAAGCATGAATTATATAATAAATTGTATCCTTTGTATTTAGAAAGGAACTCAGTAGAGGTGAAACGATTTATTTTTGAACTTTTCGAAGCGTCAATAAATTTTATTAATATATAAAACGAATTTATAATAGATACCATTAGATCCAATTGAAGATAAAATGATTGGATTAGTTTCAAGAGATCCAAGTTATATTGCTTTTGACGGATTGAGGTATTTTTGATTCATCATCATCATCACTATTATTATTATTTCAATTAAATTATCTTTTAATCATTTTGCATATATATAATTAGTGTAAGATATCGCACAGAATCTTCCAGTCATTCATGAATGGATATTTTCCGCAATGATGATACGCATAATGACAAGTTATTTATTTATTGAGATTAAAATAATTTATATTTAATAAAATGTTATTTTGTATTTATATAAACTATCTGAAATGAATACAATTTTTAGTGTCGTACAATTTAAGATTATCAATTTTCAATTTGAATAGATAATTTTTTTTTTTTTATTTAATAAATGGTGGTATTTGTGTGAAAAATGTAGTGATATTGACCAGAACACTTAAATTGTTATTCATATCTCATATTGATAATAAGTAGTCTGGCGATTAATTACCCACTAGCGGAAACTATTTACGAGAATCCTTTATTAAAGTGTCATTTGATAGCTTTGATGAATTTCTTTATATAATTGACATCTATTGGAGTATCTTGCTTTGTAAACTCAATTAATTGTTGTGTTAGATTTGAATCTGAAATAATAGTGTTTATTACCTGAATTTCCTTAAAAGTGCACATATCTATAACATCGATACTATCTGAAATTTTAATACAAAACTGAGCCAATGCAAAACTGACTTTAACCAACTTAACATCCGGTTGCTTTCGAAATACGTCACCAAAAGTTTGCAACGCTAATCTCCAATTACCTTGCCTCATATAGCAAAATCCGAGTAAAAGGTATGAGATGGCCGAGTCATCGGACGATAAAAGCAGTGCAAATTCTTCCAGATTTTGCATTTCGCTATGGATATTCCCCAAGGCACCTGCGCTATTAATGATAATGTATCTCGCTAAAAATTTAATAGGAATGTCTTCTATCTTATCCTTTAATGCCATCTGAATCGCGATGGGTAAAATGGGTATTTCGAATTCTTCGAAAGACATATCGGCACTTGAACTTTCTGTCAATCTTTGAATAGCA